TGTGGGAAGGCTGGGTAAGCCAAAAAGTGCTCTTCAAACTGCACCTGTATTTTGGATCTGTGCATGAATTTATTAACTTGGTTGCCTATGCTTTGCTTTGTGACCGCAGGAAGGGATACGATGAAGTTTACATCTTTACGCAACCTTCACTCGCTCATTTGTAAGTCAAACGTGTAATCGAACTTGTAATGGACAATGGAAATGGAAATATTTAAAGACTAAGAGAAGTGTAAACGTTGTAATTACAGGACATTAGCACTCCAAGGAGTCTAAAACCTATTTGTGATATTCGTGCCATCAGATTATTTATGAAATAATCACTACTCCGCAGTCCGGTGTACATAAGAAGTAGCAACTAGAATATCGCTTGCATCAAAAGAAAAGGAAAAGGAAAAACGAAGCAAATGCACTTGAAACAACCATGAAGATTTTCCTTCCAACTATAATTAGTTTGAAAAACTCAAACCATGCAGTTCAATCCATAGTAGCCGGGATGTAGTGCAGTAGCAGACCTGCTCGAGTGCCCAAGGCGAGAGTGTAGAATTGATCGCCGCCATCACTGCTTGATCCTCCCTGAGCCATATTGCCTCGTCTGCAATCTAAAACATGTCGGACTGTAAGAGCGAGCCATTGACGTAACCCATGAGATCGTAAGCTCCGAGTATGGCGGTCATCTGATATTCCCAGACATCAAAGTTGGAATCTTCCTTCAACTTCATAGGCATAAGATTGTGTATATTTGAGAGCAGATCGTTGATTGGACGTGTCGGGGTGGAGCTTGATGAAGAACCCATGGTGGAATATATTTCGGTGTTGCACTGTAGAACTGGATCAAAAGAAGTAAGCTTCAGGCAAAGACACAGATTATGTTCAACCCAAACCAGCTAATCTTTTTCATACAATCTTACCCATCCAAATAGAACTTTAATGCTAAGTTAGCCATCCAAAATCGAGAGAGGATATGAACACAAAACCATAAAATTCAAGAAAACTAAAATTATCCACAAAAAATTACAATCTTTGTGCGAAAAATTCAAAATTTTCAGAGATTTTGAACCGTTGAACCCAAAACAACGAAATCGATCAAAAGCAAGTGATAATTTCACTATTCGCAAAACAAAATCGAAGAAATAGACAGTCGGATTCAAAATTTACCAGACGAGGAGCAGGAGGACGAGCGTAAAACAAACTCACCGTACTAGTCTTTTGTATCACTTTGAATAGGGATATAAAGTAATGTGAGTGATAAAGCAGTGTTATTGTATTTGATATAAAGTAATGTGAGTGATAAAGCACTTTAGTGAAAAAAAGTATTGACTAGCATTTATGATGGTGGAGGGCACAATGATGGTAGGAAGTGGTGGCAGTGACAATGGTATGCATGGCAGTTGTAATGGCAACGCTAGTGGTGAAGATGGTGACGGGGCTCATTGTTAAGGTGATATGGTGGCGGCGGGAGTGGTTGGGTGTGATGGCGGGTTACATAGAGGGCAATGGTGGTGGTAGTGGACCAGTGGTGGGGTGGAGATGGCGTCAATTGCAGTGGTTTTGAGGGAGTTGGTGGCAGCATTGGTGGTGGGGCTGGTAATGACAATGGTGGTGTAGGCTATTGAGGTGACCGCGGTGGTGACAAAGCCGGAGATTATGAGGGTATTAGTGGGACATTGGTGGCAGGAATAACGGTGGTTTTGAGTGTGTTAGTAGCAGCATTGATGGTGGGGCATGTAATGGTAATGGTGTGAGAGGTGGTGGTGACAATGAGCTAGTAATAATGTGGTTCAAATTCGCCTGTATCCATAATCGAACTTAAGACCTCTAAATTAGTATTTAACTTATCATCTAAAAGATTTGAACTTAAAGACATTTTACTTACAAAGAAAGGATCACAACTGTAAAGTGGCAAGACTACTTTCTGAAGCACGGTGAGGTTTTGGATAACATGGTACTCTGTACTAGAGCTAGACATTGGAATGCCGAGATATGGAAAGAAGCTCAAAAGTTTCCGAGGGTTTTTCAGAATCGGATTATATTACATAACATTAGATTTGCAGCTCCTTTCACATGAATTAGGTTCATCTCTGATATGCAGTTGTGAGTTTACTAGCTATGACTAGTTTCATTATGTCGTTCGAGGCATGGTTGTGTGACTGAGCAAGATAGCTCTAGGTTGTTCTACCCTAATATATAGATCCATTGCCATACTAAGTTTTTAACTGAAACATTTTCTTTGCAAGGCAAGGGAATACCTGAAACTACCGCCTTGTTAGCCCATGTAGTGAGAGAATAGTGGCGGATCTAAGAAATATTATTGGAGGCTTCAATAAGAATAGTGTTTGTAGCGCACAAAATTTTTTGGATCGTATAATATGAAAATTGACATTTCATCAAGTCTTGGTAAGCTTGAGGTCATTTGTCAAGTTATATTGCATGTCTGTCGGCATATGCCAACAGCTTTCAAACGAGTATGTCGACTGATGTCAACAGCTTTTGATAAAGCATGTCGATCGAAAGATGCCTATAGCAAGCATACAAAGGCATGAGACTAGCAGCTACCTTGCCCAGTATCCTTTGAGGTAATATGTTGAACAGTGAGGACAACTTTCAAGGGCATCTTAGACCATCTCCAAAGGAGATGTCAAATTTTGACAACTTATGTGGTATTTTGACATCTTTTAAAATTTTCTTCTCCAACCGATACGTCAAATTAAATATTTTTTTTATTTTATAAAATAAATTATTAGACTAATTAAAATTTAATAAAGGACATTTAAAGTGTAATCAGTAATCTGTTTACCTTCCTTGATTAAAAAGAAGAAAAAAGTAAGATAATTGCATAAGTCAACTCAACATTAATTATAATAAATGATTAAACTGATTAAAATTAATAAAATACATTTAATAATTAATAAAAAAAATATTTGAAGTTGATGTCAAATTTGACAACAACCTCTTTTGTTGCCAATCCATGTCATCGCCACATTGGATTTGGCACTTCGGTTGGAGAATATTAATGTGGTCTTTTTTTACTGTTATAGCTGATGTGTACATTTTGGCATCTCCTTTGGAGATGCTCTTAGATTTTCAAAGAATAGCATCCAGTTCTTCCGTAGAAATTTCTGAGTTTGAGAAGTCAGCTGACCCATATCCGTCTTTGTAAAGGGGGGGGGGGTAATGAATTAGAATTTCATTATTCGATTCCTTGTGACAAAAACAAAAGAAGTGTTACTTGAACTTATATTCTAGTGGTTTTTTTTTTTTTTAAGTTTGTTTTAAGGAGAATATTATAATTCAAGATATAATATGCATTCTCTAAACCTTTTTGGGGGACAAGGGATTCTTGCCCATAAATGTGAACTCAACGATTTACCATTAGAGCATTCTTACACAGCAATAACATGAGTTGTTCGGAGTTGTTCCTTGACCCCATTTATCATAGTAACTCTATACTCTTACAATGAGAAAGGATGATTTGAAATTAAGACCTCTTCCGATATCAAGAAAATAAATTAGTCATCATTATATTAAAGGTGTAATTGCTACAGAAAAATAATAATATCTTTGACTACTTATTTGCATGAATTGAGCAAGAGGCTTAGGTGCTTAACTGACATTTACATGCGTGCTAGAAGTCTTGCGTTCGGACCATCTTCCCTTCATATTTCTAAAATTAAAGACAAGAATGAGGTGGACTTGAGCTTACTTAAGTTGTTAGGGTAGTGTGCTTTACGCCAGTTATTTTCTTAGGGTTTCGCAGGAGAAGGAAGAGGGTTAATTTTCTAATGAACCGAAGGTCCCCCTTACTCCCTATTCCCTCTTAAATCTTTATAAAACTCGGCGAGAAAAGTTGGTTATGAACTATTGACTATAAACCATAGTAGTTATAGGTGCTTAAGTTTGGTATGAAGATAACTTAAGCCTGGAACTTATGTAATCCGACAGGAAACACGAAACCGATCACTATACTGGAAAGCGAGACATGACCATAACTTAAGATTCAAGTAACATTGAAAAAACTAAAAAAACTGAAAGAATGACTACCTGTAATAAAGCGTAGACTAATAGAGGCCGACCATGCTCTCTTGCACCCTAAGTTCAAGTCCATCCCTTTGTTTTTATGAATTTGATGTAATTTTTTTAAAAAATAAAAAAATAAAAAAAGGAAAGGGGGTGTATGGAAAACTTTGATGACACAAAAGAAGTGTAGATGAGATAAATGCTTATGGTATCACAAACCACCACAAAAAGCCTTCTTCCCAAATGATCACGTGACTATTTGCAGGGCACGTGCTGATGTGAATCCCTACATATATTTCACTTGTAACCAATGAATAAAGGGCAAAACGCAGAGAATATGGCGGGAAAAGAAGCGAGGCTTGGGAGGGAAACTCATTGAAAGATCTAATCTTTCACTTTCACGCCTTTTACTGTTATTCTAAGAAAAAATCGGCGACCCAAAATTTACCCTTTTACAAAAAATGGCCCAAACCGAAACCCTAGGAATCATCCAAGACATCGAAACCCTTGTCTCCGATCAACTTCAAGTGGTACCAATCCCTCTCTCTCTCTCTCAATCTCTCGATTTTCGTTTTATTTTTTCGAATTTTACAGTTACTATATTATTTCTGTAATTTTGGCAAGACCCATCAAATTTTCAGTTTAATTTTTGTTATTTTTGTTCGATTTAGTGTTTTTGCTGCGTATTGTTCTGTGATTTTGGAGCTAGCTGTTACTAGGGTTTTGGTGAATTTCTAATTGTTTCAACAAATTAATTTTTAGGGATTTGTTAATGGGTTAGGTTCAAAAATGCAATAAGCTTGGGAACCACTTTCAATTTAGCGTGGATATCGAACTGTTACTTGTGTGTTTCGTGACAAAGAAAGTTCTTGATTGGAATTTGAGTTAAGATGCGTTTAACTTCGTATAAGATGGTCTAAATTTAGTTACTTTCGGTGCTGAATTATGTTATAGGTTTCCTACAAGTGGCTGAGTCGAAATTATTTGGTGTCTTCAAACGCTGCAAAGAGGTATAGGAACTGTCTCAAAGCTTGTGGGTTGCATTTCTTGTTTACAAGTGATTAAAAGTTGTTTTTTATAGGTTACTCCAGGAGTTTGTTGAAAAGCATGAAAATGGGTTCGAAGTGGTGTATGTTTTGGCTGGCTGGTTGAAGAGCGATCCTTCAAGCTACCATATAAGGCTTGTTTCTGGGCCTAAGCTTACAGGTGACATATAATTGTAGACTAGTATGTATGTTTACTTGTGCTGATATATTTTCAAGTAAAATCTAGTAGGGGAGCATCCAATTATATTCCTTTTAAAAAGAACACTATGATTTTAAATCAATGGCATTCTTCCTGGTTATATTAGATGCAATAGAACATGTTAAAAGAGTGAGAGCAGTAGTTTGGAGGGTTAGATTCCCAATAGGACATGCATACATACATAGAATTAGACATGTTGTACATACATGGACTTGAGTGATGGTTGACACAATTTGGAATGTAATAGATGCTATTATTTCTTTTGAGTTTAATCATCCTTTCATGAGCTATTTAACAATGGTTTCTGTATCTTACTTTAAAAAATTTTGTGTGCTAGTTGAAATCTAAGATAATTGTTCATGCTTTTTCTTGCTCCGTCTCATCATCTTTTTGTCAAACATTCAGATTTAGTCTCATCATTATACATCTGGTAAGTGGAAATATTATGGAACTCATGTCTGTCAAATTATATGCAGAAGCAAAAGAAGAATTTGATGGCAACTGCTCAGTTGAGGTTTATAGTGTGCAAGCTTGCATCCCAAAGGATCCAGCTGCACTGTGGAATGCTGAATTTTTGCAAGCAGAGGAGCTCTTTAAGCAGGCTCCTACGGTTGCGAATTGCTTGAGAGATAACAGGTATATTTATTTCTATCCTACTCCTATAAATAAAAGGTAGGCTTTTTAGCCAAAATGGTCCCTGAGATTTACATAACTCCTCACTTTGGTCCTTGAGATTTGAAATAGATAGAATTGGTCCCTAAATATCAAGAGTTTATGAAGTTTAGTGTGTCTACTGTATTGCAACTTTGCAAGTCTGGTAAATCTAACAGATGCTGATTTCTGCTCCGTAAGGATTACATAATAGTTGGCCTTGTATTCATTGGAATCTTTTCCATACAGCACAAAAAAAAAAAAAAAAGTAAATGAAAGTGATTTGTCACTGTAACCACTTAAATTTATTTGGTTGATTTTTGGTTTATGAAGAATTTCTCCTGTTAATTATCGTAGGAGTACATTG